GATTGAAATATCTAAAAATAGGTCCTTTAAAGCAGTAAAATATTAACCTTTGATATACCTACGGTAGTTATTTTTAATACATTATCATCACTTAATAATGTATTTTTAAAAGATTTTTCACTTTTCGGTTTTATTTATATTTGATTTTATTTTATATTTGTCGTTTTTTGTGTCAATTTATCTATACAATCATCCTCCACACGTGAATCATTGGAGCTGGCTCTGCAGCTTCCAACCCTTTAGGGTCCCTGCTTCCTTTTCCTGAGGACGTCTGCACTGCCAGGCACCAGTGCCACCAACTGCTCCACCCGGCAGCAGGTCATAAAATAATATTACCAAAAAAAGGATTTAAAAACTGACAAAAAATTCCTTTTCTATTATAAAAATCATATTTTTACTGAAATATGGATGAAAAATATTGCTCATATTAAAATATAATAATAAATGACCAAAAATCAGCTTACTCATTTTATTCTTACTTCTAATCAGATGTGAGTAGAGCACCCAAAAAAAACAGCATTTAAGTATAGCACTACTTCATCATACTTTTACTTAAGTAAAAAGTAGCCTTTGAAGAAATTACTCAATTAAGATTTTTTTTAAGTATTTTGTAAAAACGCTACTCAAGTACTTATAATAAAATAAGTTACTTACTTAAGTAACTTATTTAGTAAATACACATAATCATAAAACTGAATACATTTTTTATAAGCTATAAAACTTACAGAATCAATATTTACTGTATGCAATAGGTTAAGTTACAATATACTGTTTACCATATGTTCACTTAGTCTTGAGTACAAGTTTAGAACAAGCTTGTTTTCATTAAGTGAAGTTACTTATATTGGATGGAGCAGCCAGAATTAGTGATACTTTAACATATTTTTATTCAAATAAAAGTAAAAAGTATGAAGCTTTAAAAATAAAAAACAAAAATAAAAGGAAATAAAGATTTCTGGATTCAAACTTAATAATACTAAAAAAGCCAGTGTTACAGTATTGAAAGTCATTGAAAACTGCAAATTAAGGTCTGAGAGTCCCCCCCCCACACACTTATTTGTCACCCATACCCCTCACCTCACCACTTTCTCACTGTCCTTGTCTATTTCTATTCCATTGACCCTTACATAATTTACCCCCACACTAGGCTTTGTTTCTAATCGGTAAATACTCTTTATGCAAAGTGGAGGAGTGTTCAACATAAGTCCTAATTAATAATACTTATAGTAAGGAAGCAGGAAGCAAAAGGAGCATGCATGCTTCCTTTCAATGTTTAGCATAGGGAGCTTGTGAGGTCCCTCACAGGTTCGAATCCCATAATCATTTGCAGAACATCACATATAAGCAAAGTCCACCTCACTGAAACTATGGAAAATATTATGAGAGAAAAAGGAACACTAAAGCTATTTGCAGTAACAATAGTTCTTCACCTGCACTGCGTGATACATGCAGATGTACACAACTTTAAATGTTTTGGTTTGTGTAAAGGACGGCTTCAGTCATTAGCTACATTTTGGGTAAGGTAAGGTAAGGCAAGTCTTACTCAGGTTAAAGGCTGTTAGAAATCAGCAGAGCAGTCCAGAGCTCCTTTCATAGCCACAATAGAAAAGGTTTATAAAAAGGTCTGGGGAGCTGTGGACAAGAACTAAGGGCTATAATTAGACCATTTTGCATGGAGCCTCCACCTCTTCTTACACAATCATACTTCCTGTACTTTGCACCTTAAAAATCCTTCTCTGCATCTAGAATTTAGCAAACTCGTCTTTTCTTAGTTTTTTCTTTATCATATTTGTATCGCTCCATGTGTTCATGTCATTTTTAAAAAGAATTATGAATATGTGTTTTTATACAACCAAAGAATTTGGTAATACAACACATTTCCTGTATTTTGCTTTATATTTCAGTGTCGAAAAATGGCCACATTCTCTTACAAATAATATTAGTTTTTTTTCCCATAATACAAGTGGATGAGTGTAAAAAAATTTTAGATTAACATAGAAAAGACCTCATTAGTGTTCAACCAGGCTCCATCAGCCCAATGTTTACAAACCATGAAAGAAACAATTATGGATTATCACATAGATAGACATAGATTTTTTTACTAAATGTTCCTTAAAGAGTGTGTTCTCCGTCAGCAGGATGCCTCCTCTCACAGAGCAAAAAGTGTGTAAGAACAGTTGAGGACATTTGCTTAATTAGTTTCAAGTGTTTACTTGACTCCAATTTGTTTCTAGGATCATTGGAAGCCGCATTTACAACTTCCTGTTCTTAAAGAATATTTTGCTTAAACCTTATTTCAACATGAAGAAACTCACACAGAGAAAAGCTGCAGTTAGAATAATATTATATTTATTTATACAGGTAACACAATCATATTCATAATAAATTTATCAAAAGAAAACCAGCTGATTGCAAGGACTCATTGATTCTCTGCAATCCCTCACATTGAGCATGCATGTAGCGACAGTGGGGAGGAAAACTCACTTTTAACTGGAAAAAACCTCCAGCAGAACCATGCTGAGTGTGAGCGGCTGTCTGCTTAGGCTGACTTGGGTTCAATGAGACAGAAGTAGACATAAATCAAATAAGTTATTTGACGTTCAGGCCCATGCAGAAGACTTTGATGCTGTGAATCAACATTTGCTAGGATGAGTAACCTAGAAAAGGATTAGAGTAGTCTTCAGTCAGGACCCGGACACTTGTGGTGAAATAAGCCATAGAGTGAGTGGGACTGAGAATGAGGGAGGAGATGGGGTGGAGGTGAGTGAAATTTCACTTCAGTGCGGGAGAGAGAAGCTAGGCTAGGAGATAAATGAAGGGGATCTTGCAAAATGATTGGCTTCAGTGAAGGTGCGGCCCTCGAGTTGATTGGCTGGAACTGAACATGGGACATCACAGGTGGCTCAGGTGATGCTGATAAGAGTCTTCCAGATTGAAGGTTCTCTTAAGTTTCATTACCAGGTAGGCAATTATTTTATAAAGTCCTTGCATTACTGGATATGAAGTATTTAGTCACCAAAAAGGGACAAAATCCCTATTATTTATTATTCCTTAACTGTGTACTGTAAATAGTCCTCATTGTGAAACCATCTTCCATCAAACATGGGATATATACCCTCAACTCCTTTAACTTACTGTTAACTGGATATATTCTGTAAAAGTTTTAAAGGTTTATGTTGACAGGTCCTTCTGACACCTTTCACAACCAGATTGTTTTAAATTTCACTTTTCATAACAATGATTTACCTTTAAATATTTAACAAAATTCCAAACATGTCTCTTTCATGTTCTTATTTTTCTTCATGTCATATTATTTTAAATATTTTCTCACCGTTTTATAAACAATTCCTTGGCTTGCATAATTTGCTGAATTTAAATTATTCAATTCAATTCAGTTTATTTATATAGCGCCAATTCCCAACACAAGTCATCTCAATGCACTTTACAATTCAACCAGATCATACAGTTAAATTGATTCAAAGTTTTCTATCTAAGGAAAACCAGTTGATTGCTTCGATTCATTGACTTGAAGGCAATCCCTCACACCAAGCATGCTTGTAGCAACAGTGGAGAGGAAAAACTCCCTTTTAACAGGAAGAACCCTCCAGCAGAACCAGGCTCACTCAACCACAGGTTGTGTGATCTGCCGAGGCCGACTGGGGTTTAAGGAGACAGAAGCAGACATACAGAAAGAAGCAGAAATACAAAAGGCAACTGCCAACCAGCTCCACAGGCGGCCCCGTCCAGGAAATACAAAGCTAGGCAGACACGCTCAGAGCCCGCTCCCATGTCAGAGGATGAAAGAGTACATCCAGCCAGTCACAGTCAGAGAAACGGGACTACACTGAAAAACAGGCTGAGCTCAAACATCTATTAACAAAGGCGTTGATGGCAGCAGCACAGCTGATATTTCTCTGCAGGATGGGATCACAGCCAAACAGGAACAGACAAGGCAAGGCTACTATGAGAAAAAGCAGAGAGAGCTTAGCATTAGAGATTGAACTAACAGATTCTTTAGAGTGAGATATTAAAATGAAGCAGAAGGGGCCCCTATGTCCTCCAGCAGTCTAAGCCTGTAGCAGCATAAATATAGAGATTGCTCAGGCTAGCTATAACTATAGCCACTCTAACTATAAGGAGAAGATCTCTGATATAAGATGGAGCTTGGCCATTTATATGTGAGAAGGAGGCTTTATATGTGAGAAGGAGGATTTTAAATTATGCTCTGGATTTAACAGGAAGCCAGTGAAGATAAGCTAAGATAGGAAAGATATAATCTCCCTTTTTATTTTTCATCAGAACTCTGGTTGCAGCATTTTAGATCAGATGAAGGCTTTTAACTACAGTTTGTGGACTTCCTGATAGTAAAGAATTACAAAAGTCCAGCCTTGAAGTAACAAATGCATGGACTAGTTTCTCAGCATCACCCCTGGACAGGATATTTCAAATTTTTGCAATATTCCACAGATGAAAAAAGGAAATTCTAGAAGCCTCTTTGACATGGGGTTTAAATGACAGGTCCTGATCAAAGATTTTTCACTTTATTATCTGAGATCAGTTTAATTTCATCCAAATGAAGCGACTGACTAATCAGCTTCTTTTTCAGAGAATCTGGTTTGAAGAAAAATAAATCTGTTTTGTCTGCATTCAGAAGCATAATGTGTAAAATCTTCCAGGTTCTTATGTCTTATGTTAAGACAAGCCTGCAGTCTATAATAGGTTAGTTTCCTCTGGATTTATAGACAGATACAGCTGATATAGTGGAAGTGAATCCCATGCTGCCTATATATATATATATATATATATATAGTTAGAAAACAACAATAATGATTTTTTTAATGTAAATTTAGTTTTCTGAGATGAAACTATATCTAGTCCAAGAAAGCAGATAGATATTTTGAATGTGTCTATTTCTGCAAGTCATTGAGTGCCTTCCTCCGTTCATCCAACAGATGTCAGCTTTGTGCTGCAGATGTGGCTGCCCGCTGCAGCTGGCAGGAGGATGCTGTTTGGAGGAAACTCGGCGCTGGGACCTCATCGCTACCGGGACGGACTCCGCTTTATATGGATCCTGAGGAAAAATGGCCACCGGTAGAAGGAAGGAGAGGAAGCGCTCACCAATTTTAGATTTACGCATCGTCTGAGACATATGGATGTACACGGAGCGAGCGACCTAAGTGACACATTGGAGCAGATCGCCAACGTTCCCACCGAACTATTTCAGCACAGGACTCCACTCGCTGGTGAGTAGACTGGATACACTGGAGCGGCTAGTTAGCTTAGCCTGCTTAGCACAGTTAGCACACACTGGAATGTACATCACGCCAGTTAAACGGCACTAGTAACGGTTCAGCCGCTCTAAGCGTCACATTCATATCATTTATAGCGACTTTACGAACCCCTCTGCCGCACTGTTACGCACACTGTTAGCTTATATCTTTATTTTGCAATATTTTCTAATCCATTCATGTTAAGACGACACGGTTTAGTTTGACAGTTGTCGCTCTGATGCTAGTGCGATCAGCTGGTTAGCTTCTGGGAGCTAGCACGGATAACTGGGAATATGGCTAAATATCATGCGATTTTTCATTTGAATTGATGGCAATAAAAAAAAATAAAGAAAAAATGACTTCAACGGAATAAAAACAAGGACACTGACATGCATAACCTTGACAGGTTCTGTTATGATTCGGCGTTGGATATTTTTACTCGTCAACATTAGGAAATCATGGCTAAAGAGCCGACTCCTCAAGCATCCAGGGCTGGGAAATGTTTATTTTTGATGTTTCGCATTTTCTTGGTGGTTATAATCCCTGATGCATGCTGTAGGTCAGAGGTGCAAGAGTGTTTGGGATCAGGGTATTGTTTCTGGGTGCAGGGCCGACTATCTGGATGACTGCACACCATTTAATGAGCAAACAGCAACCTCCTCCCTGGCTGCTATAATCTATTTGATGTTCAATGTCAAACCAAACGATTTAAACCTTTAAAAACATTAAAGTCACTTTAGATTCTCATCATCTGTGTATGCTTTTAATTGGGCCACCCACAGTGTTTAAAGGGCTGAGATTTTGATCTGCTTTATGGAAAATTGTGATTCCAAATCATCACCAAATAACATATAAGCAATTGATCTCTAACTTATTTGTTTATTTATTTATTTTTGATGTTTATTATTCATTCAGTTTCTGTGGAATATTTTTTTTTAACTTAAAACAGGGAACACCCTTGCTTAAAATAAATGATTTCTGATTGTTTTATTTTAAAAAGTAAAATAAAAACTGTTTGTTTCCAATATGTCCCCTTTTTGATGATTCTATACCTTATTAATGCATTTGTTGAAGTAGTTGAATCTATTTGTGTTTGGATTAATAAAAAATAGTGAAATTTATGAACGTAATAGAAATAACCCCAATGAATAATTCTGTAGTTAATAGAATAATTCTCTGCAGGTTCCAAAATGATCAAAGTGTCAAAGACAGGAATGGCATCTTCCAAAGTGTCATTACTCTGTTATTCTTGTGTTATTATTTTACATTAATAACTGTCAATGGCTTTTGAAAGCACTTTTATCTGGTTGCTTGCATGACCCAGTTTGAGCCAGGATTTCACTCTTTCACTCTGAGACAGATGGCCCCACATTTGACTCTGGAATACAGCTGCACACAGACAAATCTGCTGTGACTCAAAGTGCCCTGGCTTTGTGGATGCAAAACAAGCCCATATCATCACACATCCACCACCAAACTTTATAGTTGCTATGTGATTTTTTTTTTTTTTTTGCCCTTTTATCTTCTTAATAATTCTCATGGTTATTTAAAATTCAGCTTTGCCAACCTAATTAAGTGTTAGCTTTTGACAGAGGCAAACTTCTTCCTATTTCCCTCAAACAAGCTAGGCTTTCTCGGTCCTCATCTTACTGTTACTATCCCCGACCTTTAACATTTAGGATGCCAACATCTGAGGCTTTTGGTGTCTTAAACAAAACTCATGTCTTTTTTAAACTAATTTCTCTGAGCCTTGCCCAGTCTGACCTTAAAGTGATTTAGCTCAAACCTAGCCACCTCAGAAGTGGGAATGCCACCTGTGAATCCCCTTTCTCAAATGTAGAAGCATAGCAACAGTTGCTTCTCTTGGATCACCGAAAATAAAATCTGGAAATGCAAAATGATGTAACACTTTGTGATATCTATTCAAATGTGTTGGGTTAAAAATATGGTAAAAAATCTAAATGAAGAAAGAGAAAAGTCTCACGTAGATCATGATTCTGTATGAATCAACATAGAAGGTTTGACTAAAATCCCTCTCATGTTTTGATTTAATAATAAAAACAGCCTTGAAATGCGTTAGACTGACATTTAAAAGTTTGTGAGGAAAACTATTATTTGTCTGCTGTATTCTGAAGTAGAGATCAACCTTTACAAGTCTAACTGAACCCAGAGATGTGCTGCCTCTTCTTTTGTGGTGAATTTTAAAGCTGATATTATTTTTTCTACTATTTACATGATATAAAATCAGATAACAATTGTCAGGAGTTTGAATTAAAACAGAAATGTATTAATAAATAAAAAAATACAACCAATGGAAAATGAAGGGAGCCACAATGCAAGCACTTCACGTCATCGCAAGTAATGGCTGCTTGAATGCACTGATATACTAATATAATTGGCAAATGTGTCCACTTATTGACTGATGCTGATACAAGGAAAAAAAACGCTAATATTGGCCAAAAGATACTGACATCTGTCTGAGTTTTGAAGTGAAGCAGCTGCAGGTAATACATTTCCACTGGCATTTAGGAAGAGATACTTTAAGGCATATGTTTTGCATATTCTAACCAAACCTTGATATTATTGGAGCCTAAGATACATTTGGACTCTTTAAGATTCTGATCGTTTACTCATTAAATCGTCTATGATTAAGATAACATTCCTGAAATACCGTTTCCACTTGTCCGTTTACCAGGAAATTATGTGGAAAATGAGACCTTGTCATTCCTCTTCTTGCTGTAGCACTTTTCAGACCCACACCCCAAGGAAGGGTTTGAGTTAAACATAAATTAGGTTTAAGCCCTTCTTGGTATCAGTTTTCTGCAGCTACTACCTTTCCTTACATTAACACATGCATACCTGCTGAACCTATTTACCTTTAATCCCCTCAGGATAAAGGTTGCATATGTGCATAGAAGAAGGGTCCATGTAGACTGAGAATATGGATGGAAGCCCGACAAAATGCAGTTAACTTGTGGTCGGCACGTTCCACCGTGATAATCATTTGAAGTCAGATCTAATATGAAAACCAGATTATCTGAAGTGGTGGTTAATGTTGAGAAATTTGGAGGAGTTTGCACGATGCTCTGTTCTAACTCTTGTTCCGCCTCGTTGTAACTTTATACTTAAATTGAGTTTATTTCTGCACAGAGAGCTGTGTGTGAAATGACAGCAGAGTCACTGTGTTTTTGTACTGAAAGTAGGAGGCTCTGATTTCATGAACTTTCTTTTTCTCTTTCCTGTTTCTGCACTTTCATAGCCTCAGCTTTGAAAAAAAGGGAATGAAGTAAGCTGGCCTAGACCAACTCTGAAGTAACATTTGAGCATTTCGAATAGGCAGGTTAAAAAACAAAAAAGCAACACAGGTTAAGCCCCTTTTTCATCACCCATTGAAAGTCTTGGGTTTTAAATCTCAGGACTTTCACTGGAAAAGCGGCTATAGAGTTTTGGTCCATTTCTAATCTTCTTTTTGTAAAGCAAAGTATTGAATTAACTAATCTCTAAGCTTCTCTATAAAAAATATTAATAGATAAAAGAACAGAAATTAAATTCGTTATGTTTTTCTCACATTCTTGATTGGATATCTTATTAACACAACTCATGATGCTTTGCATGAATATGTGTATGATTTGTGAAAGGATAATAACATAAACCCTTAACCTCAATTCATTTTAGTTTTAGTTCAGTTTATTTATATAGTGCCAATTCACAACCCATGTCATCTTAAGGCATTTTACAGTTCAACCAGATCATACAGTTAAACTGATTCAAAGTTTTCTATCTAAGAAAAACCAGTTGATTGTATCGACTCATTGACTTTAGTGCAATCCCTCACATGAAGCATGCTTGTAGTGACAGTGGAGAGGAAAAACTCCCATTTAACAGGAAGAAACCTCGTGCAGAACCAGGCTCAGTGTGAGCGGCCATCTGCTGAGGTTGACTGGGGTTCAAGGAGACAGAAGCAGAGATACAAAAGGCAACTGTAAAAGGCGGCCTCGTCCAGGAAACACACAGCCAGGCAGAGGAGCTTTGAGCCAGCTCCCATGTCAGAGTATTAAGTGAGCACATCCAGCCAGTCACGGTCAGAGAAACAGAACTACACTGGAAAAACAAGCAGATCTCCAACATCCATAAGCAAAGGTGTTGATGGCAGCAGCACAGCTGATATTTCTCTCCAGGATGGAGTCGCAGCCAAACAGGAACAGACAAGGCAAAGCTACTATGAGAAAAAGCAGAGAGAGCAGAACGTTAGCGATTAAACTAACAGATTCTACAATGTGGGAGAATAGAGATAGAATGAAGCAGAATGATGAAATGGGGGTCCCTATGTCCTCCAGAAGTCTAAGCCTATAGCAGCATAACTATAGAGATAGCTCAGGATAATCAGAACCACTCTAACTATAAGCTTTATCAAAAAGGAAAGTTTTAAACCTAGTCTTAAAAGTAGACAGGGTCTCTGCCTCACAGACTAAACCTGGTAGTTGGTTCCACAGGAGAGGAGCCTGATGACTGATAACGGTTCTACTTTTAGAAATTCTAAGAACCACCAGTAAACCTGCAGATTGAGAGTGAAGTGCTCGGTAAGGGACATAAGGAACAATGTGACAACAAACCAATTTCTCCATTGTGAGATCAATACAGTTAAATTTCAAATTTTTTAGTCTTTAGCCTAGTTTTTCTTTCTTACTTGTCTGTTTGTGGAGGATGGAAATTGACCCTCGTGCCACAAGAATATAGGTACATGTTCAATTCACAAGTTATTGACCGCTTTTCGGTTGGTAAACATTGGAATGTATTTTTCTGGGAGCAGGATGTTTTGCCTGAGGACTTTAAAAGCGGTGGCTAGTTAGCTTGTTTTTTTAGCATCAGCCATACAAATACAGATTTTAGGAGAATATGTAATCTTAGTCACTTTCTTGGACCAGGACATTTATTGAAAAAGGTTACATTTAACATAATTGGTTGGGTTAGCA